TGCTGTGCACAGGTGAGGCCACTGCGGTGCTGAATTACTAAAAGGAAATAGACTGTGTACTTTGCAAAGTGCAGTTGCTCCAGAGCTTAGTAAATGAGCAGAAGCTCTGCTGACTTCCATCCCAGTAGAGGTTTCTCCACCCAGTATGTAGTCCCCCCTCCCAGTACAGATTTCTCCCCCACCAGTACAGCTGCCACCAGTACGTTCATTGCCCTGCCACTCCTTGTAATCACCACTACCAATACAGCTCCCCCTCTGTAAAATGCCAAGAGATTTTCCCCCACCACTGCAGTTCCCCCAAATACAGCTCCCCATCCTACCACCACCAGTACAGCCACCCCCCCCCCCCCCCCCCAGTAAAGATCCCCCCCTCCACAATACAGAATCAATACCTCCAGCTCAGACCTCCCCTCTACCCCATCCCACCAGTACAGGTCCTCCCATTCCATCCATGAAATCCACTCACCAGACAAAGCATTTCAAAGAGAGGGGAAGTCCTCCCACAGCTGTGTCATGTGATCAGAGCCGAGGAAGAACTATGCCCAACCCCTTACTTGGTGTGTGTCTCCGTGTTTCCGTGTCTCAGTACTACTCTCTTTTCAAGCTACCTTTAATGCTGCACTGCTGTGCAAAGTTACCTTTACAGAGTGCGCTCCTTAATTCTAAAAAAGACACAGAGGGGCGCCAGACTAAGTGCAGTATTAAGACAAGTCTGGCGCCCCTCTGTGTCTTCTTTACATACAGCAGCTAGAGCTTCAGCTTCACTCTGGATGGTGCTGCTGCTGGTGTCTATATATTTTATAACAATGGACTTTTGATGGATTTACTATGGACTTTTAATGAGATTTTTTATGGTTATTTCTCCTACTTGGTCTCAAGCACTACGTGTTTCTTTAGCGCCTATCTCTCTTTTTCTTCCTTAATTCTAACACTTGCCAGCAATCCCCAGCTGTCAAAATGACAGCAATAGTGCCGCTGACAAAAAAACACACACACCATCTAATACTGTGTTTATACAGTATATACCCTTCAGAGATAGAGAGATACAAAATAACATTATTACTTTTTGTATTTATTATGTTTCATTCATCTGCAGAATATAAAGGGATGAGATTACATCTGCAGAATATAAAGGGGTGAGATTACATCTGCAGAATATAAAGGGGGTGAGATTACATCTGCAGAATATAAAGGGGAGAGATTACATCTGCAGAATGTAAAGGGGTGAGATTACATCTGCATAACATAAAGGGATGAGATTACATCTGCAGAATATAAAGGGGTGAGATTACATCTGCTGAATATAAAGGGGTGAGATTGCATCTGCATAACATAAAGGGGTGATATTACATCTGCAGAATATAAAGGGGTGGGTGAGATTACATCTGCAGAATATAAAGGGGTGAGATTACATCTGCATAACATAAAGGAGGTGGTGATATTACATCTGCAGAATATAAAGGGGTGAGATTACATCTGCAGAATATAAATATTACATCTGGGGGGGTGAGATTACATCTGCATAACATAAAGGGGTGATATTACATCTGCAGAATATAAAGGGGTGAGATTACATCTGCATAACATAAAGGGGTGATATTACATCTGCAGAATATAAAGGGGTGAGATTACATCTGCATAACATAAAGGGGTGATATTACATCTGCAGAATATAAAGGGGGGTGAGATTACATCTGCATAACATAAAGGGGTGAAAGCAGAATATAAAGGGTGAGATTACATCTGCATAACATAAAGGGGTGAGATTACATCTGCATAACATAAAGGGGTGAGATTACATCTGCAGAATATAAACATCTGTTAGATTACATCTGCAGAATATAAAGGGGTGAATATAAATAAAGGGTGAGATTACATCTGCAGAATATAAAGGGGGGGTGAGATTACATCTGCATAACATAAAGGGGTTGTATTACATCTGCAGAATATAAAGGGGTGAGATTACATCTGCATAACATAAAGGGGTGAGATTACATCTGCATAACATAAAGGGGTGATATTACATCTGCAGAATATAAAGTGGTGAGATTACATCTGCAGGTGATGTCCGTTAAAGCAACCTATCAAGTAAAACATTTTTTTTTTTCATAAAACTTGATCCTGTTTAGCTCCCTATTAACTCTTAGCTTACCTTCTTTGTTTTCTTATTCTTCAATTGGCTATTATTTTCCTCCCGATTTTTTATTTAATTTTATTATTTAAACGATTTTTCCTTTTTTTCTCATTCTGTTGAATATATTTTTCTAGTGTCTAAATAAAAAAATGAAAAAAAACCTCTTTGCAATGTTTTGTACTGGAATCATTATTTTAGCGTAATTTTAAATGAGAAAAACAGTAGAATAAAATGTATGCTTGTATCTACTATAAAAAATTTTTTTTTAAAGCCTAAGGGATTGATTTACTAAAACTGGAGAGTGCAAAATCTGGTTCTGCTCTGCATAGAACGCAATCAGCTTCAGCCTGGGTTCACACTTGTACAGTGCGGCATATTGCATGTGATTTGGACAGAAATCGCACCGCATTCCTGTGCAAATCACATACGAATTCTGTGCAGTGTGATTTGAGCCATACATTTTGTATAGCTCAAATCGCACTGCATCTGCACCATTAAGGTACAGGACCCTTTTTTTTGGTTTGCACTAGAATCTGATCACATGGGTATTCACACCTATGCGATCTGATTCTGCACATCGCACCGCGTTCTGCGGACTGATTTCAGAGTGTTGTTAACTTAACATACACACTTGCAGTGGTTCGCATGAATGAGGTGCGATTGTGATGCAGTGCTGAATTCCCACAGAAGCCGCTGCGAATTCTGCACTGCATCAGTGTGAACCCAGGCTCAAGGTGTTTTTGTCAAAGTTTAATTAAACAAGCTGAAGTTAGAACTGATTGGCTACCATGCACAGCTGCACCAGATTTTGAACTCTCCAGATTTAGTAATGCACCACTAACACCCCGGTCATATTGGGTGCGACTTGCAAATTGTATGCCAAGTCGCACCCCATTGTCCGCTATTAGAGCGGTCATATTGGTGCGGTTCCGACTTGGCCGGAGCCGCACCAATTTCTAAAGTAGTACATGTATTATTTTTATTGCTGTTTGCATAGACATCTGTGTCAGATGTCTTACAAATCGCACCTCAAATCGGCAAGTCATCCGACTTTGAAATCGTGCTACTTCACTGTAAGTCGCACGATTTCAAAATCGGATTTGATGTGATCGGGGTGTAAGTGTAGCTAGAATAGAATTAAAAACCCAGAAAAATCAGCACAAGGGACATAACCCACAGTGAGCAGGATGTGTCCCTTGTGCGGAGGTCTCTTTTTTTTTCATTGAAATCTTTCCTTATTTTTAGTCGCTGCATAACATATAAAATAAAATAATTTTTGCAAGACAATATCACCAAAACTATATATATGACTTTGTTATCTTAAGTAATTAAAAAGCTATTGCTGAATCAATAGGCTTATTGGCAAAATGTGAAAAAAACTCTGGTCCATAGGCAGTGCACAAGTGTGAGAGCTGAACTAGATAAGCTGAGTTCTGTTTTTAATTGAAAATGTTAAACCAGTTTTATTAGGCTCTTTACTCTGACTAGCTGCAGAGTATTTTTATATTGTTCTGCTGTGTAAAAAAATCACTGTACTCACTGACGTTCCTCTATATTATTCTGCCCATCTCTGCACTGACTCTGCAATCCTTCCCCGAGAGAGATTCACGTTTGTTTAAGTAAATATTGTAAATCTGGTGATGGATTTATTGATGTATCCGGAGTTACAGGTCTCTGCTTAGCACAATCGATCCAGCGCTCTGAATGATGCTTTCTAGAGGAATATAGAGCCGAGGTACGTTGTATCTCATCAGAAGGCGATTGTGAGGAGTGATTGATTTTGCACGTGACTTGCGTTCATCTTCTGTGTCACCAATACGAGGAAACGTGGCACCAGACAAGGAGACAATGGAGGAGATACAAAAACATCTCTACGTCTCTCTGACTACCAAAAAATTTCCACCTTCATGGGAAATTATATATTACTATATTATATAAGATTATAAAAGGTTTTATATTATTAATAACCGAAATGTGAAATTCTGTGGGGGGAAAAAAAAAATGGCAGCAAAGTCAAATCAATGACTGCACTCTGATAGTTTCTTCTTCCGCATCCACCGGGTGGAGGAAAGTAGAAATTATTTGTAGGATTTTTAAAAACATTTTCAGAAGAAATGTATTTTTTTATTATCATTAAGATATTTTTGTAAATTAGATTATGGCAAAACATATTGAATGCTGCGTGGAGACACAGTTGTCACAGAAGTGCTTCGGTGTCACTAGAGGACATGGGGGGGGGGGGGGCGACTTGGAGTCACTATATGACACAGGATACTCAAGGAAGCACCAGAATTATGGGGGTGTACTGGGGAGATGATACAGAGTGCTCTGGGCTGATTTTGGAGTAATTAGATGACACAGCATGCTCTAGATCACATGTGTCAAACACAAGGCCTGGGGGCCTAATCTGGCCCGCCAAGCCATTTCCTATGGCCCTCACACCCAGGGCTTTTTTAGCCAAAAAGTGGCAGAGTTGTGCAGAGGTCAAAGCTGAAAAGGAGGAGGTGTAAAGGAGATGTGGACAGCCCTTGAAAGAGAGCTGAACCTTGCACTCTGTGCATAGCACACCCCTAAGCCCTGCACTCTGTACACAGCACACTTCTGATCTCTGCACAACACATACTTGTAAACTATGCACTCTGTACGTAACACTCCTGAACTCTGCTTACATAGTCTGACAGATACGAAGTAGGATGAAGGCAACCTAATGCTGATGCGGCCCGTGATGAAATTGAGTTTGTCACTCCTGCTGTAGATGCACTCAGTCATGGGATGCACACAAGGGGATGCTGGGCTTACCAGATGACAAAGGATCCTCCAGGGTGTTGTGTATGTATGCTGGGTGTAATTCTCCGTATCTGCTTTTATTCTGTATGTATGGACTCTGCACAGTCCCACTTCTCCTGTCCTGGATGCCGCGTGTAATTCTCAGTATCTGCTTTTATTCTGTATGTATGGACTCTGCACAGTCCCACTTCTGTCCTGTATGCCGGGTGTAATTCTCGGTATCTGTCCTTATTCTGTATGTATGGACTCTGCACAGTCCCACTTCTCCTGTCCTGTATACCAGGTGTAATTCTCGGTATCTGTCCTTATTCTGTATGTATGGACTCTGCACAGTCCCACTTCTCCTGTCCTGTATACCGGGTGTAATTCTTAGTATCTGCTTTTATTCTGTATGTATGGACTCTGCACAGTCCCACTTCTCCTGTCCTGTATACCGGGTGTAATTCTTAGTATCTGCTTTTATTCTGTATGTATGGACTCTGCACAGTCCCACTTCTCCTGTCCTGTATGCCGGGTGTAATTCTCAGTATCTGCTTTTATGCTGTATGTATGGACTCTGCACAGTCCCACTTCTCCTGTCCTGTATGCCGGGTGTAATTCTCAGTATCTGCTTTTATTCTGTATGTATGGACTCTGCACAGTCCCACTTCTGTCCTGTGTGCCGGGTGTAATTCTCAGTATCTGTCCTTATTCTGTATGTATGGACTCTGCATAGTTCCACTTCTCCTGTCCTGTATGCCGGGTGTAATTCTCAGTATCTGTCCTTATTCTGTATGTATGGACTCTGCATAGTTCCACTTCTCCTGTCCTGTATGCCGGGTGTAATTCTCAGTATCTGTCCTTATTCTGTATGTATGGACTCTGCACTGTACCACTGTGTAATTCTCAGTATCCATTACTCCTCTTGTACTGTGCACTTCCATTCTGCACCATGTGGGGCCCCCCTCTGCGCTCCCATCACAGGAAGGAGACTTGAGAACTTGTCACGGTTTGCTGATGACTCCGGTGAGAGTTCTGGGAATGAACGCTGCTCTCTGTATTAATATTTTACTCCATAATGGATTTTATGGGGAAAGAGGTCTGCGCAATAAGAAATCACGTATAACGATATCCTGAGATTACATTAGGATAATGCGTTCACTGCGTCGCGGGTCATGTAGAAATTACTCTGTGTAAACTTTTACGACGTGGTGGAGAAATATTAGGAAAGCTCAGAGGGTGTCAAGATGCAGCAACACCTGTGAGGTGTTTCTTGAGGTCGCATGGTGCTAAATTTGCCAGTTGTCAGGAGACATATTGAGGGGGGTAGAAAAAAACCAGAACCCCCTTCTGTTTCAAAATATGCCTTCTTTTACCATAGGTGCATTCCATTCCTAGATCTTCCTTCCATCTCTAGATCTACCTTCCATCCCCAAATCTGCCTTTTTTTCCCCCAGACTTGCCTTCTGCCTCCAGATCTGCCTTCTTTCACCACCAGATCTGCCTTCCATTCCTAGATCTACCTTACATCCCCAAATCTGCCTTCTGTGCCCAGATTTGCTTGCCGTCTCCAGATCTGCTTTCCATTCCTAGATTTTCCTTCCATCTCTTGATCTTCCTTCTGTCTCTAGATCTTTCTTCTTTCCCAAAATCTGCCTTCTGTCAACAGATTTGCCTTTCCTCCCCAGATTTTTCTTTTGTCCCCAGATCCACCATTAAACCCTACATCTTCCTTCCTTTCCCAGATTGCCATATCTACTTTCCATCTTCAGATCTGCCTTCTTTCACCAGATTTGCCTTCAATCCCTAGATCTTCCTTCAGTCTTCAAGTCTGCTTTCTCCCCAGATCTTATATCTCTCTCCAGGTCTTCCTTCTGTTCCCAGATCTGACATACATCCCTAGATCTGCCTTTCATCCCAAGGTCTGCCTTCATTCCCTAGATTTTCCTTCCTACTCAAGTCTGCTTTGTGTCCCCAGATCTTCCTTCTGTCTGCAGATCTTCCTTCTGTCCTCAGATCGTCCTTCTGTCAACCGATCTTTCCATCCTTTCCTAGATCTTCCTTCCGTCCTCACGTCTGCCTTCTGTTCCCATATCTTCCATCCATCCATAGATCTTCCTTCCTTAGATCTTCGTTCCTTTCCCAGATTTGCCTTCTTTCGCGAGATCTGCCTACCATGCCTATATCTTCCATCCTCAAGTCTGCCTTCTGTCCCCAGATCTGCATTCCGACTCCAGATTTTCCTTCTGTTCCCAGATCTGCCGTCCATCCCTAGATTTTCCTTCTTTCACCGGATCTGCCTTCCAATCTTAGATCTTCCATTTGTCCTCAAATCTGCCTTATGACCCCAGATCTTCTTTCCATCCCCAGATCTCTCACCAGACCTGCACAGATCAGCAGAAGAATTTGCCTAGGTTATAGAGGACCCCTGCAAAATTTTTTTTGTCAATTAATTTGCTATTGAACTATTGACTTTGTTTTCATGCTTGCACAGTTGTCCCGACTCCTCTCCTGTACTGAAATGGCTTACTCTGATTTCACTGCACACTGTGAGCTTCTCACAATGTGCATTAGAAGCTGCAGCAAGTCAGATAGAGCCCGCCTCATTTCTTGGATGGAGGATGTTCAGCATCATCTAGGCTTTCCTTCAAAGCTTTGCTGAACCTGGCCTGTCCCTTTCATTGGATTTCAGTTCTTTCAGTCATGGAGGCTCGGCTTTACATCTGGACATTACCTAAGGCTTTCTGCATGCAAATATAGTCTGTCTAGGAATACCCACTCCTCCAACTAACTTATCTACCCATCAAGTCGAATTACTATTTGCAAAACTCCTCCCAAGAGCCATCCTACTACTTGCATCAGGACTGTGGACTCTTGATTGGATGTGTTGTGATGTTTTTTAGAAAGTACAACACTCTGCAGGTCCCTCCCACCAGCCATGATCTGCCTGTAATGCATATAGAAGCACAGAGAGCCATTAATGACTTTACTGAGCCTAAAGTTGGTTATGTAATGAAAAAAATCTAATGTTTTGTTTAAAAATATCATTAGCATGTTGATGTGGGGGAAGGGGGGAAAACAAGGAAGGCAAAATATAAGCAAATTAAACTTCAGCTGCAAATAACATAACACCGTAGATGAAAGAAATATAAAACATCTTTGGGGCTCTGGCTTTGATCTTATATGCACTTGCCTGATGTTGTGGTGTCAGAGCCCCCATTGTTCCCTACCCTAACATGTATTGCAGCCCTGTGGGGGACATCTCACATGCTGCTCCCTTGACATCTACAAAGATGCGGCAAATTTGTAGGCATCAATAAAGAGTCCTTTTGAGTTTTAGAGAGAATTCGAAGTCGCCTTTTGTGTCGTCTCAGCTCCATCATGTGATGAGCGCCTCTGCTGGGACTCCTTATAAGTGTTCCGGAATATTCCCAGATATATTTCAATCCAGATAATATTCATTTCCATCCCTCTCCCTGCAGAGATTCATTCCGAATGTCTCCTGTTCAGCGGTGTTCAGACAGACACCTCGGGTGAGACGATACGGCGCAGTCAGATGGTGCGAATGATGATGTACAGATGAAATGTGCGCCCAGCAGACATGGACGGGGCGCTCATAAATTTAGGAGAAAAACAAACTTATGCGCCAGGAAACACATGGAGTCTGCAATTTTGGGTCATAAACAGAGGCGGTTAGTCCTTATGTACTGATAATTTTCCTAACATTTCGCAGTGGGACCCCCGCCGCTACAGCCAGCTATAAAACATACATTTATTGCCTAGAATGTCAACATATCTCTTCTCCATGCAGATCACTGTGTCTCAGCATATCTCTCCTCATCCATGTACATCATTACGTTTCAGCATATCCTGTCCTCGACCATGTACAACCTTACGTCTCAGCATATCCACTCCTCATCCATATACATCACTGTCTCAGCATATCCACTCCTCATCCATGTACATCATAATGTCTCAGCATATCCGCTCCTCATCCATGTACATCCTCAGCATGTACATGTCAGTATGTCTCAGCATCTCAGCATATCCATATCCTCCTCATCCATGTACATCAGTATGTCTCAGCATATCCACTCCTCATCCATGTACATCACTATGTCTCAGCATATCTACTCCTCATCCATGTACATCACTACTGTATGTGCATATCTCAGCATATCCACTCCTCATCCATGTACATCACTACTGTATGTCTCAGCATATCCACTCCTCATCCATGTACATCACTACTGTATGTCTCAGCATATCCACTCCTCATCCATGTACAGTTGCAAGAAAAAGTATGTGAACCCCTTGGGATTACGTGGGAGTTTTGCATGAATTGGGCATAAAATGTGCTCTGAACGTCATCTAAGTCACAACAATAGAAGAACACAGTCTGCTGAACATAATACTACACAAACATTAGATGTTGCCATGGTTTAATTGCACATAACATGTAAACATTCACAGTGCAGGGAGGAAAAAGTATGTGAGGCCCTAGCTTAATGACTTCTCCCAGAGCTAATTGGAGCCAGGAGTGAGCCAACCTTGACTCCAATCAGTGTGATGATATTGGATGTGTTGCTGACAGCTGTCCTGCCCTTAAAAAACACACACCTGTTTTGGGTTTACTGTTTTCAAGAAGCACTGTCTGATGTGAACCATGCCTCGCAGAAAAGAGCTCTCAGAAGACCTACGATCAAGAATTGTTGACTTGCATGAAGTTGGAAAGGGTTACAAAAGTATCTCCAAAAGCCCTTGATGTTCATGTGTCCACGGTAAGACAGACTGTCTACAAATGGAGAAAGTTTAGCACTGTTGCTACTCTCCCTTGGCGTGGTCGTCCTGTAAAAATGACTGCAAGAGCACAGCGCAGAATGCTGCATGAGGTAAAGAAGAATCCCAGAGTGTCAGCTAAAGACCTACAGAAATCTCTGGCACATGCTAACATTTTTGTTGACACATCTACAATAAGGAAAACATTAAACAAGAATGGAGTACATGGGAGGACACCACGGAGGAAGCCATTGCTGTCCAAAAAGAATATTGCAGCACGTTTGAAGTTTGCAAAAGAGCACCTGGATGTTCCACAGCACTACTGGCAAAATATACTGTGGACAGATGAAACCAAGATTGAGTTGTTTGGGAAGAACACACAACACTATGTGTGGAGAAAAAAAGGCACAGCACACCAACATCAAAACCTCATCCCCACTGTAAAACATGGCGGAGGGAGCATCATGGTTTGGGGCTGCTTTACTGCCTCAGGGCCTGGACGGATTGTTGTCATTGATGGGAAAATGAATTCCAGAGTTTATCAAGACATTTTTGCAGGAAAACGTACGACCATCTGTCCGCCAACTGAAGCTCCGCAGAGGATGGGTGATGCAACAGGACAATGACCCAAAGCATACAAGTAGTTCAACAAAACAATGACTGCAACAGCACAGAATACGCCTTCTGGAGTGGCCCAGTCAGAGTCCTGACCTCAACCCGATTGAAATGCTGTGGCATGACCTTAAGAGAGCGATTCACACCAGACATCCCAAGAATATTGCTACACTGAAACAGTTTTGTGAAGAGGAGTGGTCCAAAATGACTCCAGATCGTTGTGCAGGTCTGATCTACAACTACAGGAAACGTTTGGTTGAGGTTATGGCTGTCAAAGGAGGGTCAACCAGTTATTAAGTCCAAAGGTTCACATACTTTTTCCTCCCTGCACTGTGAATGTTTACATGTTATGTGCAATTAAACCATGGCAACATCTAATGTTTGTGTAGTATTATGTTCAGCAGACTGTGCTCTTCGATTGTTGTGACTTAGATGACGTTCA